TCCAACCATGCTTGGCATGCACAGTTATACACACCAACTGCTCATTTGTTAATAACTTTTAACTCAGTTGTTGAAATTTAGTTTTCTTTAAAGTAATTGATAGATTAGGATCATAGTTTACTGTAGACATGCAAAGAGTAGGTAAATCTTATCATTTGAATCAACACCAATGAATGTTTACACTTAAAGTCCGAGGTGTGCAGCGAGCATTTCTCACTTCGTTTTTGCAACGCAAAATCAAGTACATTTTATTACTAGAAATAAAATATCCTTTTTTACATATCAATAAAAATCTCTGTGCAAAGTTATTAGCAAATTAATAGTTCGTGAGTAAAACTGTGTATGCCAAGCATGCTTCTAACCCCCTCAATTATTATTTTTGGAGTTCGCATTAACTTAAGACCGGCTGGACTTAGGAAAAACAAGAAATATGCTATTGGAAGATTGCCGCAAAAGCTCAACGCAGATGTCGCCACTGCATGATGATGATAATGTTGACAGACTGCATATAAAATTCGTGAAAATAAGCATTAAATCATAATTTACATCAAGCCTACGTGAAATCCTTCCAATATAACATTCGAATTGAAGAAGAAAACGTTTTTACGATCAGACTGATGTGCATCTTTGACTTTTCCAGGTGAACTTTCATAAGATATATTCATTTCATTTCACGGCTCCATCAATGCTGCATCGTAAATATGATGGTAAACAGAAGTAATTTGCTCAATTACTCAAAATAAAGATGATTTGGCATCTTGTTATCACTTTGAAGACCATCTAGCACCATTTTATAGTATGGTGCGTGTTGAGTAAATCAAGTTCCGTTGCGTTTTCCGTCGAAAATTGTGAGTATCAATATGCTTACCTAAAAAAGGCTAAAATGAACATTTATCGAATATAAGCGTCCTATACAACCATTTTCATTATCACCAGCATGACACAATGTTTCCTAAGTAAATTCACTTAATTTCCACTTTCATCCTAGTGGAAATCGCACATATTCACCATTTTCCGAAAAATGCAGCTGCGCAGGAGGTAACCTCTACCTGTGGGTGCAAACTTGTTATGCATAATTTTCCATGAAAACATCTCCGATCCATACCGAAATAATAACAGTTAGTTTGCAAACACGTTTTCTTACACGATTCAAGCAAAAGTATCCACTGGAAATTATTAGTTTTTCTTTATGGACCGATTTGCCCCAAAAATCGTCTGTTTTACTTGGAGAATTTGGAAACTATCCTCCTTCTAGTAGTTCTCACTTCGAAATGTAGGTGGCGAAAGCTTGGAAAAGTTTCACTGCAAGACGCCAATATCAAGCATAAGTTTTCAAAAGGACGTTTGTAACATTGGATAGGAAATTAGAAACATTGGATAACAATGTCCATATGATATTATTAAATCCTATATGCTATTTTTTTAAATCTGTTTCTGCTATTAGTTGGATAAAGGGATTAAGTTTAAGGAAATTGTGAAAAATTTTGAGTTTTCGTAAAAACGGACAAGACTTTTTATAAAACTAAATTAAACACCTTTTACGTGTGTACTACTCACATATACCTTGATTGATTCGTCGGTATCACACCTTGGTTGTTACATACACCCTGCACGATTCGTTTATTCGACAGAACGGTTTTCACATACGTCAAATCAGATACACCGGTTTTTGTTTTGCAGTGAAGATACGTCTTTCGAAATTTGCGGTCCGAACAGTTGGATCTTCTTTGGCAAGCGCTTTGTCTTTTTTCTTCTCGTCTTAAACGACCTTGGCTGAGATCTGATGTAGTTCGTGTTGTCGTTTTAATGCTTCCTTCTCAGCATCATCTCTGGGTGGCAACATGTAAAAAAAAAAGAACTGAGTTCTATTCCTACTCTTTACTGTAATAATCTATATTTCTGATCGATTGGTGTTAAAATTATTGACATTGGACCAGGGTCAGCTGAGTTATTAACGTTCAAAATCTTTCTTAATTTGTTACATGTTCCATTTTCGGTTTTCACAAAGTGTACCTCCATATAGAAATCAAAGACGTAGCCCTACGTCAAAAAGTCGAAGAAGTTTTGAGAAAATCAAATTTACAATGAACTTACTGAGTTTTTCCTCTCGCTGTTTTGTTTCTGAAAGAACATTTAATTACGAATATTTTTTTTTAAATGTCGTTTTGGTCAGATCAATCATTTTCGATTCTTTGAAAACATATCCAGCTTTTCATGCTCGGTAATGGCGGCCTGTTTGTATGAATAAATGTATACTTCACTGTGCTTTTTGACATTAACTGAAGGGCGTATGTTGTTTCATTTGTTTCTGTTCCTGGGAGAGAGAAAGGGAGGAGTCAAAATCCGAACCTCAAGATAGTACAGTGAAGGATACATTTATTCATACAAACAGGCCGCCATTACCGAGCATGGAAAGCTGGATAATCATTTTTTTAATTCGCCTTTTTCTGAAGTTACTCTGGAGAAAAACATTATTATGTAAAATGTAATTTTGAAAAATGCAACCATTGGTATCCTATGAGTAATGTTTCATTCAAATCGGAAACACTCATGTCCAACCTAAAGAGCCTGAAATAAATTCAGGCTCTTTAGTCCAACCGATTTGCGTTTTGGGTTGAAAATGCTCTAATATCTCACGGAAACCGTAGTTATCATTTTATGGATCACCCCCAATAATTTTTCATTGAAGATTTGCAAAATTTGCACTTTTATTAGAAAAAAAACAGGTCGTATGTGTGCAGTATACAGTTTTTACGCTTCTGTCAAATTAGTTACATACGACGTTTGATACGCCCCCCCCCATAAGTTAGGTTTCCTATGTAACATTTAGCTATGTTTTGATCGATTGGCACAAACGGCAAATAGTTTTTTTTGGTGAGAAAATGAAACAGAGCGGGTCCAAATTTTGCCAGGAAAAGTAAACAGAGTAGTTTCTGGTAGCATCAAAATGATAATTTGTTTACGTTTATTACATTCGATCTATTCAAAACGTACTCTAGACTTATCATCTTCGCGCAGCGTTGTCAGATATACCGATGTTGTAACTTGATACCGATGTACAGTTTTTTTTTTATTTTATACGGATTTTTAAAATTATTAAAATGATTATTGTCTGTCCGCGCTGAACTGTCAGAGGGAACTATTGTGAGAGATTATTATCTTTTTAAATATCTAAAAAAATTGAGCCTCTAAAAAAATAATCATGTTTCAAAATGTCTTGTGCTTGATACTCTTTCAACTAATTTCCATTTCGTCGCCGCTTTTGGTTACTCAGGAGTTGAGAAACAACTGATGGCTCATCCCGGTAATTCCTGGGAATCGGGAAATACTTTTATCAAGTGAACAAATAGATCCATCAAAAAGTTATTTTTAACTGCCTTAAGTTTATTTAATATTCCCTTGGAAGAGTAGAATCCAAGTTAAATTTATGCGTCACTAGTGGCGGGAAATAGTACTAGTCGATGGTGATAAATTTATGGCAGCCGGTTTAAATTCCAGAGTTTGAGTGATAAATTATTGAAAAAAGAGTTCAAAATAGTGAGATACGAGCATTACTATGGATGATACATGTAGGAAATTTGCCGAATAATGAAATGTTATATTAATTTTCATTCCAATGTCATTGAAAGATAATGAAAATGCGTTTTTTGATGCACCGATATTATTTAGGTTATGTTTTTTATGATTGAAATCGACGTCCAAGTCAGTCTGCTGGATATACTGGATGATGTTGGGGACTCCGTGCTAGCGGATTTAGAGACCTAGCATATTGTGTGCCTGGGCTACACCAGTAGATCAGCAGCAAAGCAGGAATTGTGGGGAATGGATTTGTTCTGCAAAATTCCCATCCCGGGGAGCGGCCACATGAAATTAATCACAAATTACCCCCCCCCCCCCCCACAGGAAACTTTTCAACTTATATTCTTCTGATCCGTAAACAATGGCAACCTTTCTCCACTGCACGAATTTGTTGCTCCCCGAATTCGGAAAAGTTGAAATTTGTTCTCGTTGCATCCCGAGATAATGCAACGATCCTGCAACAACAATGAGAATGTTAAGCAGTGGAGCTTGTGTTAACGTAGTCTAAAAATTCAACTATTTTCCTGATTGCAAGCAGTGATATCATTGTAGTCATTTGTCCTTCTTCAAGGACACTTTTCTTACAATTCTACAAGCTTTTTGACCACCAAAAACGTACCAAGACAAGACAAATTTTCAATTTTAAAAGTGAAAATTCTGATGTGAGTCGCGTTTGACAGATGTTAACATTTTTATCACCGCTACGACAACAGCGGCCACGGGTGGCCGGTAATTGGTTGGATTTTACTGTCCAGCTTTGCGCTGGAATTTTCATCCACCTTTCCCCTAAGTTATTTTCCAATTCGCCTTCCCTTTGAAACTTCTTCTGGCTTCGCTCAAAAGTTTCTACCGGCAGTTTTAGTTTTCAACTTCCTCAGCAAGGGATGATTCCAGAGTTTTATTGGGAGTCCATTAGCTTCAGGAAAACTGCGGGAACTTTTCAGCAGCTCTGAAACTTTAGAAAAGTACAGACTTTTGGGTATGTTTTAAGATCTGTAAGGGTAAATGCCGATAAATCAAAGACAGTTTCATTACCTTCTATTAAAATTCAAGAACACGGGAATTTCAGGAAAGTCCAACGAACCTCAGTGAACATAAGGAAACATCTGCAATATTTTGGAAAATTCGCAAGTCCAAAGAACTGCGAGGAAATTTAATGGTTTTCAGGACAATTCCATTTGTTTCAGGAGAATTGAGATAACTTTAGGGAAGCTCTGAGAACACCGTGTGCTTATTATTCTCATCCATATATATTCTTGAGAATTCAACTGAGCAACTATTGAAAAACAATTAAAATACTATTGCTTTTACACAGCATCATGGAACATCTTTTGTTCGAGCACCTTTTTGCATCTCAAAACAACGAGAAAAACTTCTGGGTTAACTTACCGAAAATACTCACCCAATCACCTCTTCCATAGATCAAATACTTCGGCATGAATGCCGCCGTCGGTCCGATCTCCTTCTCCGAGGAGAACGATTCGAATCCGTACGCCGAGAAGCCCTACTCGCAGCACCTGACCAACGTATTCGACGTGGAGGCCCGTCGCATGATCACCGATGCGTACGAAAGGACCGAGCAAATCCTGCGGGACAACGCGGACAAGTTGAGAACCCTGGCCGAGGCCCTGCTCGAGAAGGAAACCCTCAACTACGACCAGGTGGTGGATCTGATTGGACCACCGCTGTATGACGACGCCAAGCGAAAGATCGAACCGGTGGAGTTCGAGGACAGCCTGAAGAAGCTGGCCAACGGTGGCGATGAACCGCAGTGAGCGCGCCCTCATTAAAATAGCTTGTTGATTGTTTTAGGAGAATAAATTGATATGTACCAATACCTACTTACCTGATTTGATTCGTATGGGAGTTTCTTTTTGAGTGACGACAGCCGAAACTAGAGTTCCATTCAGCATATTATCTTTATTGAACGAATCGGTTCCTACTTGCTAAGTAAGACATACAATTATTATGGTTGATACAAGTATATACTCAGAAGTAGAGACAAATCTTACTCTTACACGATGCGTTACTAAAAAAATGTCTTAATTTAAACAATAATCCTTAACTCTAAAAAACGACAAACTAAAAAATGGGTAGGTCACGATTGTTTGGGCTTAAATTTCTTTTTTTTTTGTAAACCCTAATTCGAATAATCTAATCCCTGAAGTCTCTGCGGTAGATGAACTCTTCGTCATCTCGGTCTCGCGAAATGATCGGACGACTGTCGCGCTCGGCTCGCGGGGGAGCACGACTCGGCGGGTAGTCGAACTGTGGATAGCGCACATATGCATCGTACCGCGGAGTATAATCGTAATAGGGGCGGGAGTAACGGTTCCTTTCCTCGTACTGTTCGTAGGCTGATCGCACAGCAGCCGCTCGTCGATGGTCTGGCAAAGGTGACGGTGAACGTCTAATGCGGCGACGATCGACCGATGGCGACCGTCTACGTTTGCGATCGCGAATTGGAGACAAGGAGCGAGATTTCCGCGAATTGGACCGAGATTGTCGTGAACGGGCGACTACAAATGGTGAAGGTGACCGACGTTTGTGCGAACGGGACCCACGGGAAGACGATCTCGATCGCCGCCTGGGGAGAGCTGCAACGGGCGAACGATGCCGAGCCACCACCAGCGGGGAACGAGACCGTTTTCTCGAACGAACCGGTGACCGTGAACGCTGACGTTTTTTGTGTCCCCCATTGCTACTGGTAGTTGGTTCAATGTCTTCACCTTTTTCCTGCTTTATTTTTACATCCAACTCACGGTGGCGCTTCATTTCCTGCTCGTAAAAAGTCCGCTTCTCGGCGGGAGTCATCAGAGTGGCTTTTCGGATAATTTTTGCCTGTGAGCAGTACTGTTCCGGATTGTACGCCGGTATGCGTAAATCGTCCCAACATTCGTCGTCCTCATCACGTACCTTTTGCGGTCCAATTGGATCTTCCTGATTGTAGATCAATTCCGGCTCTTGTGATTCTGACGATTGATGCGTCGCTGCAGCCGTCGTGATGCAGTATTTGTACATGTCAAAATTGGCTCGATCGTCACAGGTAGCTGTGTGCATCTTCAGCTCGGGCTCCGCCACCTTGTGGGCATGGTTGAAGGGGCACGTCACGAACTCTGTGTTCGGATGCATCTTACGGCACTTGAACAAGTGCCGGGCCATGGCCGTAGCCTGAACCCGGTGCGATTTGTTGTACGGGCATTCCAACAACGTGCCATATCCCATAATGGAAGCCATTTTTCTTTCTTTCAAAAATTTCAGTTCAAAGTTTTGTTTTGAACACGCTTGCAGAATGGCCTGTTGTGAATAAAACAGATGCAAGCTGCCAGGAGAGACAAAACAAAACCCAATTAGAACCGACTCAACCACTATTTTCTTCGAACCACCATTCCACTAGAAAATCAACGATTATTACCTTTGAAAATATGGCGTAGTTCGTTTTTTTTTTCTTTCTTTCTGCTGCTGGCTTCACCCTTACCTTTTTTCAACACACGCACAGGCACTACAAAACAAAACTCACGTTTGGAACGTTCTGGACACAAGCAACGAGACGACTGCGAGGTGAAACCAAGCGATACCAAGAAAAAAAAAAAACAACCAAACCACACTGACACTGACAACTATAAACAAAAGCGAAAGCGATAACGAAAACGGAGGAAACTGACAGCAAGCGTCAAAGTGTCTGCCCATGCAGCAAAATGTGTTTACCGATAATCTCGCGTAGCTTTGCAATATGGCTTATCTACATCTATCGATTCTTTTCATTGATTGTCTCATTCGTTAATAAAATTGCTGGCATTCATATTTCGGGCTATTTTTTTTTTTCTATTATTGCTCATAAGCTTCTTGGACGATAAAAACAGCTGAACATGTTTTTAGAGCCGAGTTATTAACGGAAGAGAGAGCCGATAAATTGGGCTATTTGAAAACGACGTGAGAAATAATGGAAACTGGATGCATGTTGAAAATCCTCAAATCCAGTGATGGCAACATTCTATAGAACTATTGGCGTCTTGCAGTGAAACTTTTCCAAGCTTTCGCCACCTACATTTCGAAGTGAGAACTACTAGAAGGAGGATAGTTTCCAAGTTCTCCAAGTAAAACAGACGATTTTTGGGGCCAATCGGTACATAAAGAAAAACTAATAATTTCCGGTGGAAACTTTTGCTTGAATCGTGTAAGAAAACGTGTTTGAAAACTAATTGTTATTATTTCGGTATGGATCGGAGATGTTTTCATGGAAAATAATGCATAACAAGTTTGCACCCACAGCGAGAGGTTGCCTCCTGCGCAGCTGCATTTTTCGGAAAATTATGAATATGTGCGATTTCCACTAAGATGAAAGTGGAAATTAAGTGAATTTACTTAGGAAAGGTTGTATCATGCTGGTGGTAATGGAGAATTGGTTGTATAGGATATATTCAATAAATGTTCATTTTGGCCTTTTCTAAGCAAACATATTGATACTCACAATTTTTGACGGAAAACGCAACGGAACTTGCTTTACTCAACACGCACCATACAATAAAATGGTGCTCGATGGTTTATAATGTGATAACAAGATGACATATCATCTTTATTTTGAGTAATTGAGCAATTTACTTCTGTTTACATCATATGTACGATGCAACATTGATGGAGCTGTGAAATGAAATGAATATATCTCATGAAAGTTCATCTGGAAAAGTCAAAGATGCACATCAGTCTGATCGTGAAAACATTTTCTTCTTCAATTCGAATGTTATATTGGAAGGATTTTACGCAGGCTTGATGAAAATTATGATTTAATGCTAATTTTCACGAATTTTATATGCAGTCTGTCAACATTATCATCATCATGCAGTGGCGACATCTGTGTCGAGCTTTTACGGTAATCTCCCAATAGTTCAAACTGGATTCTTCCAGTTTGTTTTTGAGGCATCCAGTGAAACAGATACAGTGAAAATTCCTTGGTTGGGTCACCACCTCGGCCCAACTAATGAATTTGATTTGTTAGCTGTCCCTAAATAAAAAATAACCATAAACGAACGATAACCCAAATCATTGAACTATTCCACAAATGGTTTGGATGATACCCAGAACACGTCGTTAAGCAAATTAACCATACAATTTTTATTAGGGGTGTCAACTGACAGAAGTCAAACATTTGTTTGGGGGATATGCGCATCCTTTGTTGTGGTCGAAAAGATTTCACTGATCAGTATTGTACACGAAACGAAAATCAATTATTTTATTCATGTTTTTCACTTATACATTTTTGCCAAAGCATCAGCCTTATATATTCCATAAGACAAACCACATAGGTCCTACAAGAATGCATAAAAGGTATGTGTGACCACTTATACATTTCATTTGACACATGAGCTTCATTAACTTTTTGCAAGGCGTCTGCTTATTAGTTGACTTATACATTTTATGAATAATCAGCAATAGAAATTTGCCAAAAGGTATAAGGAGATTTCTATCCGTGTATGGAATTGGTTCCAAACGTAAACAAAACATGTAGGTTTCTTATGGCTTGTTTACGTTTGGAATCAGTTATGCGAGGTAGGCGAGGATTGTTCGTATTTGACAGCCACATCCCACCCCTGGATTTCACAAAAAGAGGAAGCAGTTGCTTGACGCTGAGGACAAAAAGCAAATCATATGTGCACAATTTTTGTTTTTGTTTTCAAATGAAACTCAAATGTTTCGAACAATGTTTACATTTATTACCTTTCATTCGCAGTTCTTAACGCATATGCTCACTCCTGGGAACAATTTGTGTTTGATTGTCAAATCCAATTTGACATGAGATTTTGACGTCCATCTAAAAAGACCCAACCATGGTGGGTATATAAATGGTGATACAGCTTTGTCACTAGATAGGCAAGGATGTCGCGGGGGGGGGGGGAAAGTGCGGTTTTAGAACAAATTGTAAACAAACTCGGTCGCTGTCCCATACAAAAATCCAACATGGCTGAATCATGAATTTGACACATTAGAACACCTATATGTAGTCACCTTGGACCAAACTATAAAGCAGCGAATTTGGACTGATGATTTGTAATCTTCCAGTTTTTGAAGAATAATTCATCCATTTTTTCATTATTAATAGCAAAATATTTTGAAGTATGATAACCACTACACTATGTGGAATAATAATGATAAAAGATGATAACTTTATTTTTGAAGGTATACAAAAAAAAAAATTTGAAAGTTGTTGAAAACTAGTAAGCCATGAGGAAGACCTCAATCAAAAAATTTCATTATGCTAACAATCACTGTTGATTCAAGTTCAATAAAACCTGTTATCCGATAATTATCGCTGTGTTTGATTCTTCGTTTATAAGTTAAATAAAACCCGTATATTTTCAAGAACCTTTACAAAGAAGAGTTCCTACTGTAATTTGTGCGAAGAAGATTCAGTCCCGTCCTCAGGTGAGCGAACTGTCGGTGTGATTACGAACCAGCCGCCTGAAACAAAAGTTAAATCGAGTAATGAAGCACTAAATTTGGTAAAAACTCGGTAGTGTGAAACATCATGAGAGGAAATCTACACAGTAACCGCAAAATACCCACTAATGACTACAAAGTACACTAAAAAAATATTGAAATCTAAATAGTATAAAAGTTACGCTAAATCGCAACTCTCCGTACCGACGCAAAGGTCCGTATAAAGGGAGAGAATGCAAACTTAGTATAAAAATGGTTTATGCGTGCAATAGTATAAAATCGGAATATACTTACAATGCATAGATACGGATTATTCGAGAGAATGTATTTATCGCATCTTTATTTTATTTATGGCAAATCTTATTGGTTTGAAATAAAAATCAAAATTGTCTAAGGAAGGTTTTTTAATTATTTTATTTTTTATTAATATACAAAATACTTACAATTTTGATGTTCATTAGGATGAACGCGTGCTCACGCAGTCTAGCTGCCCAGGCGCAGTAGAAATCCGCCGGGATGCAGCTCTTCACCAGCACGAAGCTCCGAAGAGAATCCACATGTTATTTTTCCTATCATTTTAGTAAACACTGATCGAATTCCACTCCGTTATTTGGACTTAGTATAATTTTGACGAAAATTTTAATCGAACCAATGTATAAATTTTGAAAAACCATAAAATGCATAAAACTTAATCTATATTCGTTTTGTAATATTTTTGAGTGTAAGCATTTTCGAGGCAAACTGGGACTACCCATTAAATGAGTAAATTTTTACCCATTTATGAGTAATTACAACTACAAAAACAGGTTCAGTAGCAAATACTCATAAATAGGTATTATATTTACTCATTGAATGGGTAGTCCCAGTCTCTCTCGAAAATGCTTACTTTGTAGTCATTATTGGGTATTTTGCGATTACCGTGTATAGTCGCTTTATTACACAGTCACTATAATTAGAGTCGGTGTATAATGAGTCACGACAAGAGTGAAGCCAAGTCTACCTATTGAACTGTCAAACCGGCTACCTATCGTGCAAAGTAAACAAACATTACGATGCTATGAAAGGTGCACGAAAGGTATTGCAATAAAATATAAAATAAAATTGATGAAATGATCATAAACATCCAGTGAGCATTAAATTGACATGGGATACGTTTGGTAATGATCAGTAATGGTAATTTCTATTAATTTTTGATAAGATAATTTGACAAAATCACTGATATAATGATTCACTACAGCCGCTATTTTTTTTCTCGCTAGAAGTAATTTGAAGTTGATGTAGAAATCTTCTGTTGCCAAGTGAAAAGAACGGGAATCCTTTAAAAACCGTGATGCGAGTTCAACTGTTTATCTCTTGGCGTGACTCATTATACACCGACTCTAACTATAATATGGCCATGATGGAGAGAAATTCTATCTAGCAAGCAAGGGAACCACTTGCTAACTCAAAAGTACCCATTAATGAGGAAAATTTTACTCATTAATTGACTTAACTCATGAAATGAGTAAAACCGGTTTTGCTCATTAATGAGTATTAAACGAATACGTTAAAAATTGATATTTTGTACCCTTCTTACTTTTCTCGAAATGTTTGAAAAGTACCCATTTTATTGATTTGCTTTTTGCTTCATTAAAACAATGTATTCCTTTAAGAAAACCTGAAATCCTATTAAAACAATTCATACTCTTTATTCAACATAATTATTAGCAAAATATCACACAAATAATCAATGCCCAGTGGATCATCGGTCTACAAGGTTTGCTGTTCATTGAACTGGTTCGGATCCTTCTGTAACCTTCACTCTCGCCTTCACTTCTTCCTCTTTGAAAATCATCGCTAACCTGAAACGGAACACATATTTAGAACACATACAATTTTCATCATAATTGCACGTACAATTCTTACCTCGTAACAATCGGTATCAGATCATGTCCGGGAATGCTGTGCTGTTCTTCAGATTTGTTATGGAAAGTGACGGAAACAGTAAAACTCGCAGCCGCAGCATTGTTGTTAAATAAACATTTTCACGTCAATTGGCGTTGACGGCGACTCTGTAGCTCTTTACTTCTATGATAAAATCCATAAGCAAACGTCAGACTTTGCGTGAAACATGGCGAACTTCGTACTATCCTT